TGTGTGTGTGTTTTGAGATGGAGTTTTGCTCTGTTGCTCAGGTTGGAGTGCAGTGGCGCCATCTCGGCTTACTGCAACCTCCGCCTCTCGGGTTCCAGTGATTCTCCTGCCTCAGCCTTCCTCGTAGCTGGGATTACGGATACATGCCACTATACCTGGATACTTTTTATATTTTTAGTAGAGATGGGGTTTCATTATGTTGACCAGACTGCTCTTGAACTCCCGACCTCAGGCGATCGTCCCACCTCAGCCTCCCAAAGTGCTGGGATGACAGGTGTGAGCCACCGTGCCCAGCCTAGGTGGTAGTTTTCGTGAGTAAATACTTCTCCAATTGATATCTACTTTTGGTCATTTTCCAGTTACCCGAAATTGACTATTTTTAAAAATAAATATGGTTGTCCAGTCTTATATTTATTTCTGTGGAGGGCAGTCTCTTAATCTCCTCACATCACCGTTACCGGAAGATGTGTTTTGGGACCTTTGTCCCTAGAACCCAGTCACTTTGCCATAAAGCAGCACAGAGACCATATGGAGAGACCATGTGCAGGTTGTCTGGCCAACAGCCCAGCTGAGATCCCAGATGACAGCCAGCATCCACCTGCCTTTAGACGATTCTACCCCAGCTGTTGAGTCACCCCGATGTGTGAACCTTCCCAGCTGAGGCTCCAGGCATTGTGGAGCAGAGAGAAGTCACCACTGCTGTACCCTTCTCAAACCCTTGACCCACAGAACCAGGAAAATAATAAATTTTTTTAAATCCTACTAAGTTTGAGGTAATTTATTAGGCACTAACAAATAATTTGGGAGCTTTGGAGTATGATGATTGGAATAATTTCCCTGGATTGATGGGTGCCTGAGTATAGAACTGCAGCATCCTTTTCTAACATCATTTAGAAGGGAAATCAGGTTCCATTTATGGGTTTCAACTTTTAGCATTGTGTTCTGATGCAGAACCTACCGGTTTGCCTGCTTTTTAGATCTACTGCCACTCCAAATGTTTGATTCATAACATAAATCCTAGTCATTCTCCATAATGCTGAAACTCCAAGCGAAGAAAAGATGTTTGTAATTGTTTATGAAAAACATTCTATTTCTCTTGAAAGGATTACTGCAAAATTCAAGTCTAATTTAGCCCCCATAAAATACGTTGTAGTGGGAAAAGTACTGGGCGGGACAGTCAGAAAACCTGGATTGGAGTCTGGCTGCATGAATCGGGACCGGTCACAGAAATTCTACCAACCTCGGTACTCTTTTAAAAACCAAAGGATTTTTGGCTAGGCAATTTTAAGGACACTTCCAGTGCTAACATTTATGATGAGTTCTAAAGGCCTGGCAACTCCTTAAACGTTCCTAACTTTGTGAACAGAACTTGGCACGATCTTTTAAAATTTAATATTTGCACATTCTTCATCCCAGCAATTTTTTTTTTTTAGATATCTGGCCAACAGATGTACTTTCAGAAGTGTATCAAGGTAGTTCAAGGTGTTCATGACTGTATTATGTATAATAGGAAAAGATTAGAAATAACCTTAAATCAATGCGGAAACGACCAAAGAAACCATGATACCTCTTATTGTTCAATGCTGTGCAACAGTTAGACAAGAATGAAAGAGGCCTATAGGCGGCAATGTAGAGATATGGTCGATACATAATGTCAATCAAAAATGCAAGTTGCACAGCAGGCATATGGGAAAATCATATTTTTGTAAAGTGAAACAAACCCAATCTATTTATTTATGTATATACACAGGACTGCAAGGAAACACAACACAGATCTCAAGAGTCGTTTTCTGCCTGTGGTCATTTTGAGTGATAAGAAATAGCTCTCTTTGGTAAAGATGTCCAGTTTTATATTTATTTCTGGGGAAAGAATTCTCTAGACCTCTTCATGCTTGGTGGGGGAAAAAGATGGAGGTGGGCCATAAAGCAGTGTTTATGCGTTAGAGATTTCTATGTTGCTTAAATTTTTAATGGAAGTGTATTCACGTCGTATGTCATTAAATACACACAGAAAAGTTTATCCTCTGTTGTGAATTTTGTTGCTACTTTCCGAAGCGAAAGTTTTGGTTCAGAGAAAAGAATTTCTAAATGTCCATGAAGTTATTATTTGCCTGGGAGAAAAAAAAACAAAACAGGAGCAGCTGCCAGGGTTGAGAGCATGTTGCCAGTTGAGCAAAACAGCAGGGGGACCTGCTGGTCACCAGATTTGTCCACCCCCTTGCAGGTGCCACTGCTGTTAATAAGAATTACTACTTAAAAAAAGTTGAGAGATGGGGGACTAAAACAGACTATCTGTTGGTAATAAACATGGGAATATATATGACCCAGTTATTTAGATGAAACATAGTTCTGTATTCCTTTGACTACCAGTTTTGTTGTTAGCTTTAAATGTAAAGAACTTAAACATTGCTGTGTAGAAAGAAAGAGTGATCCCAGAGAAGCTCCTGTCTGGTGTTTAATTAAACTATAATATGTGGTGAAATAAATTAAGCATCAGTGAAATTGCAAGTAGCATTGTATGTGGACTGGGATGTTTTAAAATGATGCATTCATAAGAGTATTTTATCTAGACAAACTGAAAATGTCCCAACCTCACCATTTTTAATCCTTGCTTGAAAGCACTCTCGTGCATTATCTTTGTTAAAGAAATGTGGTTGAAGACGGAGAGCATTTAATTAAGAGTTATATAAGCTAAAGGTGGTAACAAAAGAAAATTTTAAAAACTCACTTTACAATTGGTTTCTGAATATTATATTTTAAAAAGTATATTTTGATACCTTTCTTTTGTTTTGTGTTTCATAGCCAACAAAAATATGTGGTCACATTAATTAATATAGTTATGATGACAATATCTTGACCTATTTTTCTATCCACCTATTAAAAATAAACCATGGTACAGTATTTTGATCAATGCTAAAATCTAGATACTTACCACTGGTGCCCACTAGGGGTCATGCTACTTACACGGGGAAAGTACCGATTGTAGTACGGGCGTTGCTGTGTTGGCTGGATGCAGACAGGATTCCTTCAAATGATTTTTGTTCATAGTACTGTATAGAGGAAGACAGTAGCATTGCTTTTCTTCAATTAGTGCTCAGGGTTTCTGTCTTCTAAATATGGAAAATTATTTGAGGATTCATGAAAATAGATTTGAGAAAAAGCATTGGGGAAAGAGGCTTTTGTTTTGTTTTTTTTAGATGGCAGAAAATAGCATCCTGCCTGAGAGTGAATATTCAGTAGGCCAGGGGACATAAAGGTGAGATAACTCGGTGGTTAAGATCACTGAAAAGAGGTGGGAGGATCGCTTGAGCCTGGAATTGAGATCAGGCTGGGCAACAAAGTGATGCTCTGTCTGTACAAAACAATTATTTTAAAAATGAGCTGGACATGGTGGCACATGCCTGTGGTCCCAGCTCCTCAGGAGGCTGCGGTGAGTGAGGTCGGAGGATTGCTTGAGCCCAGGAGGTCAAGGCCGCAGTGAGCTGAGATTGTGCCACTGCACTCCAGCCTGGGCAGGGGAGTGTGACTGTCTCAAAGTATTAAAAAAAAAAAAAAATCTGTCCAGTGTCTGACACCGAATCACTGTTCAAAAAATGGAAGCTACTGTTGGTTACCAAAATAGCTGCCTTCATTTTCTAACTTAAAATAGCCAAATTTCTTGTCAGTTTCTTTTCTGTGTTCTCAAGATGAGCAATTAGAAAGAGAAATTTATGTTTCCTTTTCTTTTAAAAAAATCTTCCCTCTGAAAGACTGTATATAATTTAACACAAATTTGAGAAAGAAATTTACAATGGAAGGGGTAGGGGCGGGGTGGGGAAAGTGAAGTAGGACAGCTTCTTTTCTCATCTCAAAACAAAAACAAAACAAACTTCCAATCCAGTAAGGGAGAAAAGAAATGTTCACAGAGTACTAGAGTCAATATTCTAAAAGCTGTATAAATACAAGTAATGATCAATAGGGTGGATTGGTGGAAACTGTGTGCTTTTAAGTCTGACAGCCAAACATTTCATTCAAAAAGTTGTATGAGTCTCAGTTTCAGTATCTGCTAAGAACAATAATACTTGCCTTGCAGGATTGGGTGAGAATTAAATGAGATAGTTGTAAAGCCCCTAACAAGGCTGTAGTTTGTTGCCTTTCTTTGTAAGTCAAAGTTTTTCTCTGACCTTCCTCAAAGCGGAGAAAATATGTGTGAGGAAGATGTTTCTCTTCCTATGGGAGTTGAGAAAGAAAATCCCAGGTTAGAGAATCAGGGAATGCTTCACTGAATAGGTGCATTTGAATTGCATCTTAACGTTTGTGTAGGATTTTAAGCTGAAGAGTTCGAAGGAAGGACATTCTATGTGGTGCATATGGCTTGCATGCAAAGACCTGGAGTCACCTTGGTTTCTTTTGGAGCCCTGAGTAATTCAGCTTAACAAGAGTTATGATACATAGAGGGAAAGAGCTGGATGAAATTGGATTGAAATTTAGGGACATACCAAGAAAAGGCTTAAATACCAGGTTGAAGAGTTTGGCCTTTTGGAGGAGGAAGGAGAGCAGCTGGTCATCAGCTCTGAAAAACAGAGATATGGGGCCAGGCGCGGTGGCTCACACTTGTAATCCCAGCACTTTGGGAGGCCAAGACGGGCAGATCACCTGAGGTCAGGAGTTCAAGATTAGCCTGGCCAACATGGTGAAACCCTGACTCTACTAAAAATTCAAAAATTAGCTGGGCATGGTAGCAGGCACCAGCTACTTGGGAGGCAGAGGCAGGAGGATCACTTGAACCCAGGAGGTGGAGGTTGCAGTGAGCTGAGACAGCAGCATGGCACTCCAGCCTGGGCAATGAGAGAGAAACTCCGTCTCAGACAAACAAACAGAGAAACTGAAGAAAACTGAGACATGGGAATTTGAAAGAAAATTCTTTTCCCTGCATTTGGGATAAACTTACTCGTGAGCAGGTATTTATAACATATATTAACTTTCATATATATTTATGTATTTTTCCCTTTTACTTGCAGAGAGCTTCTTTCAACTGAATCTAACATGGGCTGGCACTACAGGGCTCCCAGGAACCAGACTCTACTGCCTACATAAAGCCCATATGCCAACATGTTGCCTTCTTTCAGCAAAGATGATTGGTTCTCGGAAATCAGGAATGTCAGAGGTAACTGATAAAAACAGCAGGCTCTTTTGCCTCCATGTGCGTGTTTCACCTGGAAATTAATCGGCTACTTTGTCCCTTGGCAGGTGTAACTACAGTTTTAGATCCTTACCGTGATACAATGTCCTTTACACTAACACTCCATAAATTACTCTTTCTTTTCATCATAATAGATGAGATCAGGTTAAAATGACATTTCGAGTAAGGAAAACAATCACACAAAACACGCCCCTTAAGTTGTTCTGCTGTGAGGAAGGACCTTCCTATTCATGTGGTTTGGGATGAATTTCAAAATCCCACTCGTGCTTATTCTGCTCTGCACTTTATGTATTCTGGAGACAAAGGAGAATGAAATTCTTGGAAAAAACTTTTTGAAATCCCACTACGGGTAGCTGGTGGATCACAGTGCTAGAAATACCAGCAAAAGTAATATGTTGATTCATAATGATTTATTCTCTGTAATCTTGGGGGCCTATTCTATTATCTCAAACCCCAAGAAAGGAACAGAAGAAGTTAGTTATAAGTAGGAGGAATTCCCATACTCATTACATCTGCCCACAGCGTTCAGCTGTATTTATCAGGATAACTTTGCTAGGTGAAACTGTGCAATCAAACAGGAACACAGCTTTGGAGGCAATTAAGGCAGGAGACCAGGTAAAAATAAAGCTTTAGAAAGAAACACCAGATATTGAATGCCTACTTTCAAACTGGTAGGGTATTCTTTTTGAAAAAAAGGCACATGTTTTTGAAAAAAAAGTATGTATATGTGTTCATGAGTGTGTCTTCCTCAAGGTAAATGAATATCACTGTAGACGGATAGATTCCTACTTTATAACCCCCAGTGAATATTAGTCAGACAGGCTGTATTCAAGTGAAACAGTATAAACACAGTATTGTGGTTGGGGTTGATTTATAGGGAGGCAAAGGTGGTTGATGGTTTTGTAAGGTCCATTAACGTGTGAGTCCTCTTGCTGGAAATCAGGAGATATGTGGAATGGAGAATAATGTGATTCTGTTGGCAGGTGACAATATTTAAGTATTGTTACGGTTTACAAGACCCTTTCACATATATTATCTTAACAGCTCTACCTCTTATTGTAGCACACTCAGGCAGAAAAAAAATATGTTAAGGCTCCTTGCAAAGAACCCCACTAACCTGATGGCCCGCTTGGGTCCCAGACCAATCTTTCACAATAGCTGAAGGAGTCCTCTAACTTTGTAAAAGAGTAAAAGGGTTTGTTGAGACTGGCAGAACCCATTCTCTGGAGTGTATAATTTACAGTTTACCAGTTAATTTAAAATTAAGTACATGTACCAAAAATGACAATTATGATAAAGTGGCTGTGGGATCAGCTCCAATCCCTCTTCACCAGAGAACCGGTAAAACCCTTAGCAGCTTGAGCTCCGGCCAGATTCTTCCCTTTCATCGACCTGTGTCTGCACCAGTTGCTGATCCTTTGTGTCTGCTATTATGTCCTTCATCCCAAGTAAATCACTGACTTTAGGGAGGGAAAGTACGAAAAAGGCTTATGGAAAACTCAGATTTTCCGATGGAAAGTACTCAAAGTTTAGACCAAGTTCAGGATCTTCATAATTATATAATGAGGGTTCTAGTGCCCACTCTTTCTAATTGACAGGAACTCTGGTTTATGCAGTGCTGCATGGAAATTCATGACTCTGTTAACCAGAAATCTGGCAATCCAGGCTTCACATCCTGTTTCCCCACCCACTTGATTGAAACTATTTTCCAACTGGCCTCCATTGTACTCCAAATCACCAAAAGCTAGGACAGTGAATGTTGTGGGATTGTTAACAAGGTAGTCTCAACCATGGCATTCTGCGACATCATTTCTGCTGGCTTAATCCTGAGAATGTCCAGGAAATACAATAATCCTATTTTGTTTCCCTACAAAAATAGTCCATATGTGCCAGGCCCATGGTTCACAATAGGAGGTAACTGAAATCTGCTGCAGTCCATCAGTTGAAAAGCCTGTGCCTGCTACTGTCTACAGTGAATTTTGTTTGAATTAAGAGAGACTCTGCCCAGGTTGGCACTTGACATTCAGTAAAAAAATTATCTTGAGCTTTATGAGTTTAGGGAACTTGTTTTAATGATCTGATTTTTAGCAGAGGAGAGCTTTAGATCATCTAGTCTTAGGTGTTTTTGAAATGTAAATGTGCAGAGACAAATCTTATTTGTTTTTGAGTGTTAAATGCATTATTGAGAACATGAATGTTTCCGGCCTCCGGTGGGTTTGCTTTCTTTCTTGGGCAATAGACCAGTCCTCCGACTCCACTATTTGCTAGAGAAAAACCAATTTCACTTCTGGCAATAGAGTTCTTGGACAGATTTGATTTTCTCTTGATGAAAATTAATATTCGGCTGGGCATGGCGGCTCACAGCAGTAAGCCCAGCACTTTGGAAGGCTGAGATGGGTAGATCGCTTGAAGCCAGGAGTTTGAGACCGGCCTGGGCAACGTGTGGAAACCCCGTGTTTACTAAAAATACAAAAATTAGCTGGGTGTGGTGGTGGGCACCTGTAGTCCCAGCTACTTGGGAGGCTGAGCCAGAAGAATCGCTTGAACCTGGGAGGCGGAGGGTGTAGTGAGTCAAGATTGTGCTATTGCACTCCCGCCTGGCACCAGAGCGAGACTCTGTCTCAAATAAAAAAAAAAAAAAAAAGGAAAAAAGAATATTGTTGTTGTTATTATTATTTTTGAGACAGAGCCTTGTTCTGTTGTGCAGGCTGGAATACAGTGGCACGATCTCGGCTCACTGCAACCTCCACTTCCCAGGTTCCAGCAATTCTTATGCCTCAGCCTCCCAAGTAGCTGGGACTACAGGCATGTGCCACCACACTTGGCCAATTTTTGTATTTTTAGTAGAGGTAAGGTTTCACCATGTTGGCCTGGATGGGTCTTGTTCTCTTGACCTCATGATCTGTCCGCCTCAGCCTCCCAAAGTGCTGGGATACAGGCGTGAGCCACTGCGCCTGGCCATAATAGTCTTTCTCTGTTTGTGCCTCCTTTTCTCTGTGAAAACAGAGTAAAGTCTCATATTCTCCCACCCAGCTCATGATTAGTCTACTTTTGTCCACAAAGAAGCTGGAAACTCCAGGTGGGCTTGGGCTGACCTTTGCATAGTATTATACCACTGATTGGTTTAGAGTAGGTATTTCCAAGGTCTTATATTTAGTGGGTAAGATATTTTTTAAATTTCTGTTGATACATAGTAGGTGTATATATTTATGGGGTACATAAGATATTTTGATACAGGTATATAATGCATAATAATCACATCAGGGTAAGTAGGGCATCCATCACCTCAAACATTTATCCTTTCTTTGTGTTATAAACAAGCCAATTATACTCTTTTAATTGTTTTAAGTTATACAGTAAATTCTTGTTGACTGTACTCACTGTGTTGTGCTGTCAAATACAAGATCTTATTCACTGCATCTAACTATATTTTTGTACCCATTAGCCATCCCCACTTCCCCCAGCCACCCCTGCCCTCCCCTACAGCCCTTCCCAGTTTGTGGTAGCTATCATTCTACTTTCTATCTCCAAATGTTCATTTGTTTTCTTTTTTTTTTTTTTAGCTCCCCCAAATAAATGAGATTAGGTAAAGTTTGTCTTTCTGTTCCTGGCTTATTTCACTTAACATAATGATCTCCAGTTCCATGCATGTCACTGTAAACGACAGAATCTCATTCTTTTTAATGGCTGACTAGCTCCCCATTGTGTATATATACCACAAATGTTTGTCATTTGCATGTCTTCTTTCGACAAATGTCTGCTCAGATGTTTTGCCCATTTTAAAATCAGATTATTAGATTTTTTTTCCTGTGGAGTTTTTTTTTTTAAATTATTTAATTTTGATTTATTTATTTCACACCTTCATAACAAAATCAGTTAAGACGGTTAATTAATACATCTTTTCTTTCTTTTTTTTATTTATTTATTGCATTTTAGGTTTTGGGGTACATGTGATGAACATGCAAGATTGTTGCATAGGTACACACATGGCAGTGTGGTTTGCTGCCTTCCGTCCCCTCACCTGTATCTGTCATTTCTCCCCATGCTATCTCTTCCCACCTCCCCACCCTCCGCCCCTCCCCCTATTTCCCCCAATGTGTGTAGTGCTCCCCTCCCTGTGTCCATGTGTTCTCATTGTTCAACACCCGCCTATGAGTGAGAATATACGGTGTTTGATTTTCTGCTCTTGTGTCAGTTTGCTGAGAATGATGGTTTCCAGGTTCATCCATGTCCCTACAAAGGACGTGAACTCATCGTTTTTGATGGCTGCTTAATATTCCATGGTATATATGTACCACATTTTCCCTATCCAGTCTATCATCGTTGGGCATTTGGGTTGGTTCCAGGTCTTTGCTATTGTAAACAGTGTTGCAATGAACATTCGTGTGCACGTGTCCTTGTAGTAGAATGATTTATAATCCTTTGGATATATACCCAGTAATGGGATTGCTGGGTCAAATGGGATTTCTATTTTTAGGTCCTTGAGGAATTGCCACACTGTCTTCCACAATGGTTGAATTAATTTACATTCCCACCAACAGTGTAAAAGTGTTTCTATTTCTCCACATCCTCTCCAGCATCTGTTGTTTCCCGATTTTTTAATGATCGCCATTCTAACTGGTGTGAGATGGTATCTCAATGTGGTTTTGATTTGCATTTCTCTGATGACCAGTGATGATGAGCGTTTTTTCATATGTTTGTTGGCCTCCTGTACCTTCATTTCATTGTTTATCCAGTCAACATTCAAGAGCAAGTTGTTCAGTTTCCATGAAGCTGTGCGTTTCTGAGTTAGTTTCTGCATTCTGAGTTCTAACTCGATTGCACTGTGGTCTGAGAGACTGTTTGTTATGATTTCTGTTCTTTTGCATTTGCTGAGGAGTGATTTATTGCCAATTATGTGGTCAATTTTAGAGTAGGTGTGATGTGGTGCTGAGAAGAATGTATATTCTGTGGATTTGGGGTGG